TGATATTAGCATATAAAACATTAATCCTATACATACTTAATAATATAAAAGTAATGGATCTAAGAAAGATAATATGAGAAAAAATATTTGAAGAAGAAGAGGAAGAATTAATGAACCAGATATGGTATGAAATAGATGAGATAGATAGAATAAATAATGAAGTCTTAGAATTTAATTTAAGTGATCTAGAAATTCGATATTCAGATTAATGATAAATCAGGAATACTTAGAATATTGGCAACAAACTATAATAGATATTACATTATTTAGTAATTTAATAAAAGAAAATATAGAAACATTCCAACAAACTCACGACATACAATACATAGAATATATATTGGAAAATATAAAAGAAATCATAAGATTAATACCTTTAGAAAAAATGTATTATGAACGAATTAACTTATAAAATAGGGACCCCCCCCCCCCCCCAAAAAAAAAAAATTGGTACTAGAGAGGGTGAAACAAATGTACAACTAGCGCAATCAAGAAAGAAGAGGGTAAAACTTAAATTAGGTTAAATATGTTGAAGCGGTTTCCAATATATTTTGATATGAAATAGTGAGATCAAAAAAAGATGGAGAGGTTATTTTGATCAATTGAGGAGATTGACGAGGATGCCACGCATCATATTATAGAGCAGAGTAGATGAAATGGAGGCTCACATTTGATATTTTGTGTGATAAGAATGTGCCACCCATAATTAAAGGTACGTTCTATAGGGTGGTGGTTAGACTGACTATGTTATATGGTGTAGAGTGTTGGCCAATCTGAAACTCTCATGTTTAGAAGTGAGAGTGGCAGAGACGAGGATGTTGAGGTGGCTGTGTGACACATCAGGACAAATAAGATTAGGAATGAAAATATTGAGGATATGGGGGACAAGATACGTAAAGTGAGACTGAGATGGTTCAAGGAGATGTGTTGTTCAGATGCCCATTAAGTAGGTATGAGAGGTAGGTTGTAGTGGGCTTCAGAAGGGGTAGAGGTAGGCCAAAGAAGTATTCAAGTGAGATGATTAGGTAGGATATGGTGCATGTTCAACTCTGTACTAACATCAAGATCGTCACTATCATCAATATGGTAAGACTAATGGGGCACATGACAGGTGCACAATCTACTTTGCATGTTCCATCCTTCAGCTCTTCGCCTATCGGCTTATCTTAAGCAGTTACGTATCAAGACCTTCTACACAAATAGACGGTGACCAATAGTGAAGTAGTACCGTGATGGAAGGGTGAAAAGAAACACTTTTAGGGCTATGCCATCCTAAGGTGATGCTAAATGGATGTGAAATATCGATTGCTTATTGAACCCAGTGAATTGTGTTCAAATATATTTTCCCATATTATCCTTCTTAGATCCATTACTTTTATATTTTTAAATATGTATAGGATTAATGTTTTATATGCTAATAGCATTTCATCATGTAAATAAGACATAACAATTTTAATATAATTCCCTTATATCATAGTCTTGACGAATATTATTCATATTAGATTACTATAAACTAGATTATTTTCAACATGTTTTCCTGTCATTGTTAACATCGTACTTTCAAAAGTACTTTCTTCCTAACAGCGCCTCAACTACGTTTACTCCTCTCATGGCTTCTCATGCCTATAGTTTCAACTTTAGGATGGCATAGTCTGGAAGTTTTCCTTTCTTTTCTCATGTTAACAAACAAGAAAACATCTGATAATAATTCTAGTATATAATAACTAATATAAACTTATTCTATCAACGCTATGATATTCAGGAATTAATAGGTTTAGCTATGCATAATCATGAATATATGTACCTGTGTAGTATCTGCAATATTTTGATCCATAGCTTAGCTTGCAATTTAGATTTTTATTGAGAGAATATTTTGTATACAAGAGGCATTGCTTTCCGTCGAGAAAGTCTTGCCTTATGTTGCCTTCTGGCTCTACTATATATACAACTATAAGTAACTCTACTATAGTTACTTTAATCTATACTATAGTTGCTTTACATAAACTATAGTTACTTTAATCTATACTATAGTTACTTTACATAAACTATAGTTACTTTACATTTCTAATAATATATATACACGTTACTTATTACTTTACATAAAGTCTTCCACTAACTTTATTTTTATAATAGGACAAAGAACTTTTCTTTTGCTGCTTTTTATCTTGTTTCTTTATCTTGCCGGTCTTCTTTATTCTAGGTTGACAGCTGGAATTACATTATCTTCACCATAACATCTGGGTATTTGTGTCCAATAGTTCTGCAATAATTTGCCATTATCTCTGGTGAAATAAAACTTCGTCGTATAGCTCTTGTAGTTGGTTGTTGTTCAGGTTTTAGTAGACTTAATATCCACTGACGTATTTCTTCCATATCTGCTTCTCTGGTTTCTCTAGAATTTGAATATATCATGGTTTGTTCTCTGGCATAATAACTCCATACTGAATTTCCACTTAAATAATTAGTTGATAATTCATTTAATATTGTAGCTATCCCAATAACTCTTTTTCTTGCATAGAATCCTGGTATCTCTATCTTTTGTATTTCCTCTTGCTTTTCTATTTTTTCTGGTATTATCATCTCTCTTATCAATCAAATTTTTATCACTTGTATAATAGGTTTGATTTCGTCATACAATATTTCGGCTGGTGCTGAATAAAATTTTATATAAAATAGTGTTCCTTTAGTGATCCTCTTATAATGCATAAATGCTTTGTGTAGCTCTGGGATTGTTGATATCTCGTCTCCTGTTACGGTATATACGGTACTTAGTAATCCATAGTGATAGCAAGTTCCTACTAGATTAGTGTTGGTTCCTGGTTGTGCAATCAATTTGTTATATCCTTGTAGGTTTTGGGTAATATAGTCTTCATTAGGGTTTTTTGCATTTTTGGATCTGGGATTTAGGTTTAAGAAAGTTTGTATTTTGTGAATATTTTCTATATAGGCTCTGATTATGTCTTTTTGTTTTGTCCTAGACTTTCCTTATATGTATTAAGCTGAGGTGGTAGGAATAATGGTTCTTTTTGAGTTTTTGGTATAAATGATTTTTCAAATATTTTGTTCATGTTTGTATTGACATATCTAGTTTTGTTTTCTTCCTTTGTTGCAGAGGTACTTCCTGTAGCTGCATGTAACAAATTATTAGTTTGAGTTTTTCGGTGTTTCCCATCGTCACCTTCTAGCTCTGGAATTTTCAAGTCTTCCGATTGACTTAGCTCTGCATATTTATTGTCATGCTGCTGACTTTTCATTTGTTGTAGCTCTTTATCCAGGCTATCTACTTTTGTGCAAAGCAATGTCATAGTATTAAGTATCGTTTCAATAAGAAGTTGAAGGGGGTTCAACTTCTAATATATATACACTTAAAAAATAATTTTAGCCATGTATAAACATTATAAAGCGCTACTTGGCTTCGTCCCTGCGTACAATAGAATGCAAAGATGTCTTCCGGTGGGTAATAAAACAAAAAGGAATTCTTTTTTAAATACATCCTCTTTATAAAGGATATTTACAAAGAATCCATCACAAGTGAGAGAAAAGTGAGATGAGAAACTTCTCATAACCATGGGTTTATACTAAGGATCATCCTTGAGTGCCCGTACACATTTACCCAAATTATGGATGATCTAACAACTGATATACAAGATAGATTTTCTTGGTGTATGCAACAAGCAGATGTTAAATGATGAAACTAGTGCGGGGATCGACCAACAACATGAACTATGGAAAAATACTCTGAAGAGTTGGGGTTTTAAGATAAGTAGAAGTAGGAAAAAATATGTGTAGTACAAGTTCAGTTTGCATAATAATGAAATTGAGGTGAACCAGATGAAATTATGGTGCCAAAATCCAAACAATTCAGATATCTAGGTGAAGTCTTTTAAGAAATTGGCTTAACAGGTGAAGATGTTAATGCATAATACTAAAATGGAGATTCAACAAAGTTGAGGAGTTACTATGGGAGGAAGATGCTATACTTACGTTAGTCTGGTGTTCTCCAGAAGTTTTAGTTTGGTCAGATATTTGTAGATCAATATATGTGAGATTCAGAGAATTGAGGCTACTTTTGTCTCAAAGGACAATTAATGAAGTTATGGAATGAAAAGGACCAAAAATTGAGCAGAATGTGTACATACGATTCATATAATTGATCCCAACTAGTTTAGAACTGAAGTGTACTACTTGTTGAAGGAGGGTAAAGGTGCAACTCATCCCTCACCTTTGCATGGCCAGCTACCAACCAAAAGGTAAAGGGAAAAGAAAATAGACTTATCAAGAAAATACAAATTAAATTCCTTTAGGAAGGGGGTGGGGGAGAAGATAATAACAACAATTCTTCGGTGCACTAGAATTGTGTGAAAGAGAGTTGCATTGAAGTGGCAATATACGTATATATATGAGAACACTCTAGATAAGTAAAGCTATTGGTGACAGCTAAGAGCTTTGAGTATTTTGAAGTGGATGACTATCTCATCGAAAAACTTAAATTGTTAGAGAGAGCATACATTTCATTACTTAATTATATTATATCTCGGTGCAGTCCCTCACATGTGGGCTTGATTTTGTTTTATGACCCAAGCATCTGAATTATTATTTTTTTGATAGTGGGTGGCGGTGAGACTCAAACTCTAAACTTCTGTCTGCTCTGATACTATGTTGAAACGTGTGATCAATCTCATCTAAAAACTGAAGCTGAGTACACTCAATTTACTAAATTATATTTTATCTCACAAGCTCTAGTCTTCTAAATATGTCAACTCCTTGAACTATTTACACTTGTGTTGTTTGTCATGCCAGAATTATGGTATAATCTTTTGTGCTTAATTTATCCCTTTTGCATATATGCTGCCCTCTCTTTTTGTGCCTGTGGACTTAACAAGGTCAATCTAGTTGATTGCAGTCTTCAATCCACCATTCTAGTGGGAGTAACCAATTCCAGCAAATGCTTTTAGGATATTTCCAGTTCCTTTTTTCCTAAGGAGCTTTAATTTTCCTGTCAGGTTTTAGCAGTTGGAGCAGAGCCACTTCTTAGTCGCTTTGACCTGAATGGAGATATTATTTCACAGATACCATGTGCTCCTCAGTCGTTGTTTTCCATTTCTGCACATCCTTCAGGGGTAAGAGACTACTTTTATTTAGTTTGCTGATACCAAACACTTTATATTTAGTGTGATCTACTTTTTTTAGGTAGATTTGTAATTCTACTTTTCTTTTTTATATAAAAAACCAGAAATGCTATATACACCAAAACTGAAGTTGAATCGCCATTGTGGCAGGAAGGATATTACAATGTTTAATTATCGTTATTGGTTATCATAACTCAAACATAGTTCCACCTGTACATAACTTTCAGGTCACAGCAGTAGCTGGTTACGGAGGAATAGTGGATATTGTATCACAATTTGGTAGTCATTTGTGCACATTCCAGTGCAGAGGAGTTCAGAAGGGACTGCCAATGCAGCTTATTTAACTTTGGGACATTGTTAGATGAATCAGTCAAGACAGGAAAGAATTGCCTGCAAAGAAAGTTGTCAGTGAGATGTTATGGTTAAGGAAAACCAACTTTTTCTCTGAAAAAAACTTGGTCACCACTTACTTGCAGCAAGCTATATGAGTTTCACTTCAAAAAAATGAAATTTAGCCCTGTATCATCAGCTTGGGGAGGAATTACTACTAACAAATATTAGAGTTATTTTTAGTGAAGTGAGGTGTACATATGAATAGCTGATGAAAGTATCACTGTGTAGTAACTATTGCCAGCAAAAATGAAACAGTCTAAAATAAGTGTTGTTTTAAGGTTTTTAGGACACCCATTAAGATAAGAAAAATCATATATCTCATAAACTGTCATTTATATCTCAGTTTCCTAAAGCAACACTTTGGACCAAATTGGTGAAAATTAGATGACCATTTATTTTCTTCATATATTACTGTAAGAACATAGAACTAACATTAGAAGAGACTATTCGTCGAATTGGTGAATCTATACTTATGAGCTCATCAAGATTATCATATTGGTAGATAAATTTCTGGAATTTGGATATTGTAGGGAGACAAGAAATGAGCACTTCGAGTTTTGAGAATAGAGAAATTTTTGGTAGGGAGCATTTCCTCTTTTAACAGGTTTTTAACAGGTTTTACATAGTGCAAATTTTGATTAGTCGAGTCAGTGAGTTATAAACTCAGATGATTAAATAAAAAAGAAAGAGCTTGCACCCCTTTGCGGTGTAGAAACACCAGATTAAGGATGTGCTTAGACAAAAACATTGTTTAGGCATGATCACACTTGTATACATAAAATGTCAAGACAATCCCCCATTCTTTTCTTTTTTTTCAAATAAGTTATTTAAAATTTTAAAATAAACTTAGCACACTTAAAAATTAAGTGAAATAATAATTCTGTGTTTATAAATAATTTGTCGCTTGGGTTGTTGAATGGTGTAATAGTCTATTATGAATTTATTACTAGGGGTGGTACGTATATTTATTTTGGTTCAAAATTTTCATCTATTATGAATTTATAGCTAGGGGTGGTACGTATATTTGTTTTGGTTCAAAATTTTCATTTATCAAGTTAAACCAACTATTTTAAAAAAAATATGTAAATCAAATCAAATCAAATCAAATAAAGCGGTCTCGATTTTTCTTAGTTTTTTTTTAAAAAGTTGGTTTGACTTTTAAATATTTTTTTCGATAAGGTCTTCCAAATATGTAATTAGTTCTCCCCAAAGAAAAATTGTCCTAGTGAAATCAACAATTATAAGACGTTTAATACAAAATACGAGACGTGTTCTGACATTATGTTAAAATATGGTGTTAGCAAATATCATAGAAATTTATTGAACAAGTACTACTAATAAGAGAATGAAAATGAAGATTTGATTTAGGCTTTATTTGAGTTATTAATATGTATAAGCTATAGTTTTGATCATGGCCACAATCTTTATAGGAAAGAATTATTTTTTCTTTTGTCGTTGGATAGTTCATTGTTGCTTCCGAATGCACACATGAGGGTATGTGGTCGCTCAAGTAATATATGGCTCTAAAAGAGCCGGATTATCGAACCTAAAAGATTTATCGATTAACTATTTTACTAAATTATACTAGTCTAAATATTTATTCAAGAGTGCCAAAAGAATTCAATTTTTATTTGTAAACAAAAGAATGCAAGAATTAAATAATAAGATTAACTTACAATGATTGATGCAATTCCAGGGCTACAACATACTAAGAATTCATGCATCACATCTTTTTCATGGATTTCATAAGGTTATCAAATTATTGATTTACCGGGTTGTTATTATGATCATGATCTCTCGATCTCTAACCACCTACCCAAGTTGACCGTCTAACTACATCGTTGAGCGGAAATAGACAGACTCAAGTGTTGAACATTTATTTTTCATCTTGTATCGTAACCACGCACGATATTTGTGTGAGCGTCAACACTGAACACAAATCTAAACAAGTGGTATGCAATAAAGATCATACTTCTCTGTTCTATCTACCTATTCGTCATTCGAGTTAAAGAGTAGACAATGTATTTATTTTATTGGTGGTCTAGTATCAAAATACTAAATCAAGAATACAAGAATAATAATTTATTTAATAATCAAATTCATCCATAAAAGCAATGTTCAACAATCATTCATAGCTACAGCCACATAACAAAAGTCTTTAGTGAAACTGAAGGGGGGGAAGGGGGTGAATTAATAATTCCTTTAGTCGACTCACCTGCAGATTAATTTAACAGTATACGATAATAGTAAATGCAGTAAATAAAGGACTCACAGAATATTATGCTGGTCCGAAACACCAAAGTGGTGCCTACTTCCAGTCCCCTTAGGTTTAAGGCGCGTCCTTAAGATCTTGTTGAGAAATTGGGTGTTTACAAAGTAGTTCGACTTGGAGCCCTATCTCATATACAAATAAGATCTTTCTACTTTGACACAACCTCTACTTGTATAACTTACACTTTGATCTTTTTTTCTCTTTTCTTTTTCAGTTGTATACTTAAGAGAATACAAAGCTTTTATGAAAGACAACAAAAGACAATAATACAAGTTCAAGTGAAGTGCGTACTTCACAACTATGGCCAAAGGAGGTTTATATAGATAGGTGGGCTACTTGCTCTTGTAAGGAAAAACCCAAAGGTGTTTCTCTCAATCAGGGATATTGAGGGATTCCTTGATTGAAGTGATTTGCTGATTCACGTCCATATTAGATATGTACATGATCAGACCTTCCTTGATTGAGGTGATTTACTGATTCATGTCCATATTAGATATGTTCATGATCATTCCTTCCTTCTTGAGATGATCTTCTCCAATCTCGGCTTGATTTGAATCTCTTCCTTCTCGTGATAGCTTCCTTGATTCTTGGCAGGATTGTTGATGATTGTCCTTGCTTAATCAAACTGTTTCTGGGATTGAAGGTATCTTGAATTGATTTGTAATTCCTCTAATCGTGGCTTTCCTATCTTCCGTTGGATATCAGTTTGTACATGCTTGACTTATTTTCTTTTTGATTTTTTTTCCTACAAAGGGTACAAATATTTGTTAAGAGTCGTTTATCAAAAATCAACTGGTTTTATGAGGGTAACAATCTCCCCCTTTTTGATAATGACAATTAATTCACAATTTTATATAATGGAGCTTCCCTATTTTCCCTGGAGTGTGTGGTTGTAGATTCTAGTTTAATTTGTAGCCTCCCATGCCTTTATGGTTTGTTGTAGCTCCACCGTCTTTATGAAAATTGTGGGAACAAATCTCCCTCTTTGGCATAATCAAAAAGAAGAAAAATTAGGAAGACACAGGATAAGGCCAAACCAAGGTTGCAACAGATAATAACAGAGCAAGAGTCCTCAATAAGCAATCCAAAAGGCAGATAGAAGTAGGGACATGCCCTTTGTTGAAAGATAGTTCAAAAGTAGTAGTAGACAAAAACAAAAGATCCAAGGTTAGATATTCAACGATCACCCAAAAATTACTTGTGGGTGTTGATGATCTTTACACAATAGGAATTTTAGGAGCGTTCCACACTTTTAGAGAGACTGGAGTAAGAGGTCTGGACACTGACAACAAGTTCATTGTTTGAAGAGCTGACTCCACTTTTGAGAGAGTCAGCTTGTTGAATAAACTTGTTAACTGTGGAGATCCCTTCCTGTTTTATGCCAGTCATAGCAATACGTAACTTACCAACATCACAGCTCGTATCCTTTTGAAGGCGAAATACAATTTCAACCACATCATGAAGAGTCTCCAAACCACTTTCCACTGCTAGAATACGAGTTTTGAGTTCGTCATTGCCCTGCATCAGGAGGGCAGCCGAATTCGCAGAGATCTTTATGGGTTTGACACCTTCAACTCTTGCTTTAACAGAGTCCTTTTTCACCCATTTATTTTCCACCTGTGCATACCCCATACTAGAGAAAGTACGAGAATCATAAGTAGCATTAATGACAACATGTGTAAACATTGAGAGATCCACAAGACGATTTACCAGGATGCGTGAGCCAAGTAACTCATATGGCAAATTTGCAGAGGCATTAGGGTCTTCAACACTTTCCAACATGTGTTCTTTGAACCAAACTGCCTAGTTGATGCTGTATTTCTTGAGTAAACAGTAGAGAACAAACGTGTCTCGAGTAGAAATACTACTCAGAGATCCTTTCCTGGGAATAAGAGTAGTGGCTACAATATGTGCCAGAATACGATGTTAACAAAGAGACAAAGGCCCAAAATCAGATAAGTTAGAGTCTGGCTCAGTTACGACTCTCTTGGCACCTTCCAGAGAGACCTCAAAATCATCAGGCCAAGTTCCGTCCATATACGAAATTACGCTAGCAAACTTAGTACCAAACACATCTTCAAACAACAGTTCGTTGATAATTATATGATTTCCCATAATGAGGGTTTCCGCCTCACCATTGTCAGAAGAGATGTAGAGATTTGCGTAGAAGAGTCGAACAACTTCTTCAAAAAAATTCAAGACCACACAGACTAAACAACAAAGAGAGTTTTTGAGCCTTGAGAAACGAACTTACCGCACATTGAGAGTCCTTCAATAGACTGAGATTGATAACACAACCAGGAATGATAGGTCGAGTTTTGAAGCTGTCATACTTGATTTTATGTTCGATTCCGCAAAATCATTGCATGTCTTCAGGAGATAGAGATCCTGATGCATTAGGACGAGGTTTCTTTAGATTCTTCTTCTTGGAAGAGGAAGCTTTCCTTTTGACGGGAAAGGTAGGAGAAACGAGCGATTCATTAGAGGAATCGGAAGAGAGGAATAAGATGTTCACTTCATCGAAGCTTGAAGAAGTTGAGTTCTTGAGAGAGGCCATGGAGCGAGTTCTAGGCATTTTGGATGAGAGAACTAAACAAAGAGAGGAGACAAATAAGGAGAGGGGAGAAAATTGAAGGGTTTTAAAAAAGATAGAGAAGAGTCAGAAATGAAGGGGAGACGTCTAAAAGAAAGTGAAAAGACGGGGGTTATGGAGAAGAGGAAAGGGCGATACATGTAACAATTAAGGGCAGGAAGTCTGAAAAAGAAAATAATGTTAACACATAAAAGGAAAAAGTCACATTAATTAAATCAAGTAATACCAAGGCAATTTTGAAGAAAACGAAATCTTTCCTCAAGCAGAGGTTTTGTAAAAATGTCAGCTAACTGATTTTTTGAATCAATGAGTTCTAGAGAGAAATCCCCATTTTCAACATTATCTCTAATAAAATGATGCTTGATATCATTATGCTTAGCTTTAGAATG